GGATCATTCAGAACTAATTAAAACATTTACTACTGTGGCCGCTTCCATCCGCTGATGTTTCTGAGGTATCAAGAGAGGCTTTTAACCACTCCTTTTTCTGGGGGCTTCAGGCCACATTAGTCAACCTCAGAGTGACTTCTGGCTGTTTCGGGAGGGGGGGTTGTCCTATAAACTCCCAAAGCGACTGGAAGCCAATTTATTGGGCCTGTCTGCTTTGGATCAAAGTTAGCTAAAATTTTCATCCTTGTAATTTTGCACAATTCCACCCATGAGCTCCTTACATGTAGTGCATTCATCTCCATGCAATTTCCATGCTTCTGGTGGTTCTGCCCCAGCAGCTGACATATTTGCTAGTTCATTCACCTCATCTGGCAGAAGGCAATTTTTCTTTCACAACATCACATTTGATCCATTGATTAAAAATAACACTGAACTCAAGAAGCCAAAGATGAATTTCTGCATTGTTAATTCAAGAAACACAGTTCCTCATTCCTCCCCTCCACAATTTGTGGGAGGGGGAAACCCTGTATCTCACAAGATTTCAGAGGGCAAGGGGGGAGGCACATTGCTTGGTTTCCAGACAATTCAGGAGCTGGATAGTCCCCTGAATATTTTTGTTTCAACATAGACAAACTGCTATCTGAAATTGGACGAGCACTGTTTTAGAAAACTGCAATATTAATACAACATTTTAGAGGGGAAACGCAGCAGGAAGTTACTTCAGCACCTTGTTTGCTAGAGAAACTGGCAGTCACAGATCACACTAACAGAAGCACATCCTGTCCCCATCCTGCCACAGTCAACTTATCAAGGGCGTAGGTGTCTTCCTGGTAGCCTCTGGAGCATATGATAACATTGCACTAGAGGCCCAGAGGCAACTCATTCAGCTCTGCACTCTCCCCTTTGCAAGGGATCCAGGCAATATTTTCATGGGCAAAATGAAAAATTAAAATTCATTATAGGGGCTGTTTTGGAGGGGGAAGATGGTTTAACCAGATCCTTGAAGCAAAGCCTAATGGCTTGCAAATCCAGTTAACACAACTCCTGTACAAAAACCTTTCTGCTCCATTGTTTCAAAATAATGATGTTAGTGGGTTATCAGCACTGTGCACATATATAAGCTCCTCCAAACAGATTTCTTTGCCTTGAGCCTCTATGCCTGCAGAAGAGTTTTGTGAATTATTCAAACTGACTAAGCTTTCTGAACAGTATAAGCTGGTCCAATAAAACTATCCATAGCAGTATTGTGCAGTTCACCTCCACAGGAGACCTTTCTCTTGCCAGATTTACTGCCCATAAAACCATACCCATACAATACTGTAGGAATTGCTTTCATCTTTCTCAATGCTTCAGAATATTTATTCATTGCTGGAGGAAGGAACAAATAAAATTTTGGCATCAGCAGTCAACCTCTGTGTAGCAGACTATGGCTGCCACTGAAGGTGACAAAGAGTGTAGGGTTACTGTCTCCAAAACTAGTATACCTGTATCAAAGCTATCCTTCCCTTTCAATGGCTAGTTCAACTTAGCTTTAATTCTTGCTGGACATTTCTCTACCCTGACCAGAAGCAGTCATTGAAGTGAAATGAGGACAGGGAAAATTGGACCACAAGGCCATCATGAGATATGGGAAGAGGGAACAACCTTTCAATCATGGCCTTCATTCCTTCCCAGAGTTTGGATTTTTTAAAAAATCTCTCTCCCCCCCTCCTGCAACTGTCAGAAAACTCAAGACTATAATCTTTCTGGGTGAATCTGGGAGCTTTAGTCCAAAATGTAGCAAGCACTTCTAAACTCTGTTCCCTCAGGAGGAATCTGCCAGGAGCCAGGCCAGCAGTGGATGGAGCTGAAGCCAGTGTGGTATGGAGTGACAGGGAGGAAAGTGACACAGCTAGCAGGCTGCTAGAGAAAGGAATAGATGGCTTCTGTAGAGACCTGGTTCCTTTTCACACTATACAATTATAGCATAGCCATTATTTGCATAGCCATTAAACTGTCACAGGTCCACCTTCCAGAATCATTGGATTTTTAATTTAGCAATGGGAACCTAGGATTCTCAGCCAGAGAGCTCCTCTAGTGTCTCTAAGGAAAGTAAAAAGCCCAGGTTTCCATAGGATGCAGCTATGCAGTTAAACTGGAACCATAATGCTATACCTGTGTAATGTGAAAGGATTCCTGAACTGACCATATGCAGGCAGGGTGACCAGATGCCCTCCCTTTCCCTGATATGCCCTACATTTCAACCTTCTGTCCAGGGATCTGGGAGGAATCCAAAATGTTCTCCACTTTGAGCATGCCTAAGAAGCCCATTTAGTAACATCAACTTTGCTGTTCCCTTTCAAGAAATGTGTCTACAGATGGCCCTCCACTTTCGCCAATATCTCTCAACCACCTAGCTAGCACAACTTCCCTCTGCTTCCCTCCATTCTGAATCCAATGTTAAAATCTTCTTCCCTCACTAGGCAAGAGGTGTTAGGGACTGGGAGAGAACTGGAGAGAGAGAAGGGTGTGGGGAGAGGATTTTAACATCTGATTCAGAATGGAGGGAAGTGGTGCTAGGTGGCTGAGTTCTGGAAAGGGAGAAGGATGATGGGGAAAGGTTTTAACATTGAATAATGCCAACAACGCATTTTAACAAAGATACGTTTACCAGAAAAAAGACAGTTGATAATAAAATATGGTATATGTAATTAGTG